CAACACGCACCCTCTCCCCTCTGCTCAGCGTGTCCTGCCCCCCAAGCTCGCTCCTCTCCCACCAGGCAGCCTGGTGTAGACACAGCTCTGCTTTGCTTGCTTAGGAAAAGCGGTGGGTCTAGGTTTGCCGAATAACTGCTTTTGGATGTGCCCCGGAGGGAGAAGCAGACCCCGCGCTGCAATCCCCTGAGCCAAATCACGGAGCCAAATCACGGAGCCAAACAGCGCTGTAAATGCGCCGAGACGGCCTGAAGCACGAGAGCTGCCCCGACTCGTGCACCTGCCAGCACCAACGGGCACGGCCGCATCCCGGGRCACTTTGCCTCCCACAGAAGGTATGTGTTGTCAGTGGCGATACATATAGCTGCTGTTCAGTGTTTCTGACGGCTCTCGACCAAGTGCAGCTGGAACAAGGCTACAATTACTTACGACCGTTTCACCGGCTGCTGCTTCAGCAGTTTATGGGTTCCAGGTTAAAGGCTCGTTCAGCDGCGCTCTGAGTGCCGCAACTCCAGCATGCGTTTTGCGAGCTGGATGSAAAATGTTCTGAAATTAATAATTAAACAAGACATTTGGTTCAGAAATCAAAGGTACGCCCATAAACACTGAAGAGTGTCCCAGGTGCAGGCTGATTGATGCAAAAATCAACGCATTTCACAGCACAAAAGCATTTCGGTTCTTCTGGCTTTCTACTGCCAGYATTTCACTATTGCACAAGACCAAACGATGCTCCTTAGAGAACCTGCAAGCAGCGCAGAAGTTTATCATGGTAAATGTTTTCCAAGATTAGCAACTAAGCAGCACCCCATGGAATGTCTTCTGCAATCCATCGGGCTCACAATTTCACGTTAACCTTCCGAAAGGAGAGATACCCCCACTTTTGCCTGTGCGGTTTCTCACTCACTTGGGCAAAGGCAGGTTTGTGTCCTCAAGCATACGTGCGGCTCATGCAGTTCTTCAGTCTTCCAGATGCTGCCATAGGAAACTGCAGCTACCTGCCCATGCGGGGATTATGGTGCTCCAAACAAGCGACCAGCAAACTCRTCACACACACAGCACTGGGCTGTTTCAGCACAGGCGGCTCGGAGTGAGCACGGCTAGTGAGCAGCGCAGCTCATCTCCGCACGCCGCCACTTTCCATTTTCTTGCTGCTCTGGTTCCTCAAGCAGC